TACGCTTTGCCAAATAGCCAGTCAAAAAGGAATTAGTACTCACACTTCATTCCATGCCTGCTGCAGAGGTAGGGAGAGCTTTATTTTCGTTGGATCACGCCTCTTGGTGCCATAATGGCGCTGTGGCAACGGGACCTATCGAGCTCGGAGGTGCCTCGATTCCTTGGCTGCAGCCTCGGGAGAGGCAACCTCCAGCACCCCAGGCTGGGAGTCCCCTACAAGGACTCGGGGGGGGGGTCCAGATCAACCGCCCCCCTCCCATCTGCCGCGTCACGGGCCGGTCCTTTCAGAGCACCAAAGGAGCATGCCTGCCATGGAAGTCGCCGAAACCGGAAGTCAAAATGACTTCCTTCTTGTGGCAGTTTGCTACTTCCGAGTTTTTTTCAAGGCAAAAAAAAAATGAATACTATGGGAAAGAGGAGTTTTTAAAGCTGAAATGTGCTGGAAACCACCTTTTTTACCTTACTGAAATGATGGGGCTTTACACAGTCCAGTGAACAGTGTAATTCAAACCCAACATTTCTGCAAACATTGCTAGTATGATTAGTTGCAATATAGAACAGGGCTTCTGTACCTTTAGCAGGAATTTTGGCAAGTAGAGAGTGAGTTTTGTTAGTGTTACAGAGATAACTATGGTACCTGTTAAAATTTCAATTAAATCTACAGGGCCCCTGTTTTCTATTGTGTCTTCTGTGTCTATTCATTGATTTTTAAATAAAAAAAAACAAATACTGGAAAATACAGATCATAACAACCTGAAGTTAAGATAAGAAGGCATGAAAAGTAGGGGAAATATTATGGCTCCTCTAAAACTTTACACTATCTTCCTTTCCAACTTTAAATAGTTTGAAAGGAGAGAGAGATTTAAGCTGCTGGATACCTCCTGACAGACCTTCAAAACCACCTCCCTCAGTTTGATCCCGTTAAATTAAGGAAGCCAAGCCATACCTCCTGTTCTCAGTTAGCACTGCTTACCATTTTTGCTTTTCCTTGAAGACTCTTCTAAGTGTCAGGCCTCTTATGTGCAAATCTTTGTACCACACCAACAGATGAGTACCATTGGCTAGCTCTACTGTTATTTTACCATTATTAATGATAGAACTAGTAAAAACACTAGCACATCTCTTTAAGAAGGATATTTTTCATTTATCATTCCTACTTTACAGCTCAAGGCTTGTCCTGAGCTACCATGTGAATACGTGGCAGGATTAGCATTTAAGTCCATGAAATTATATGAACATCTCAACAAAAGAAGCCTCCACTACTATTGTGGCTTATATTTTGGCTACCATTGGACTCTTCCCTTGCATATATGATCCCTACTGAAGTATAGACTTTTTTTCCATTGTGTTTTCACTAGCAGGTTTTTATGGAAACACAAAAATAGAAGAAAGTATTTACATTTTGACTTCATCCTTTGAAGGGGTGTGTGTGAGAGAGGGGGGGGGGGACCATGCTTTCCAGGGCTTCTTGATTCCACTTTTAACACTGTCCTCCATATTCTTTTTCTTCCTTAGATATTTCGAGAAGTGCAAGCCTTTCTGAAAAAGAGCTGAAGGAAGCAAAAGCCAGGAGCCAAAGAATTGCAGCCCAATTGACAACCCCACCTAATTCTAACTCCAAAGGAGTGCTGTTGTTTCACCGACGCAAGCAGCGAGTGAATGCATTTACCTTAGAAAACACAAAGTCAAGCAGGGAACAAGCAGCTTCAGAGGTCTCCCCCCCAAAAGCTACTCACCACATCATCCCAAGCCATGGGAAAGAGCTCCATTTGAAGGAGACCTTAAGGGACAACAGAGAGCTGAAAGGATTTTCCCCCATCAAAGATTCTGGGTTGGGGGCACAAAAAGACAGCATGGAAAAACAGGAGGAGAGCCTGCCTGTAGAACAGACTGTAGTGGAGGGCCCTCAAAGGAATAAAATGAAAAGTGAGGAGACTGTTTCTGACATGAACACAGCATTATCCTCTGAGGAGATTCCAGCAGAAGACTTTCAACAAATCCCTCTCAGTGTGTACCTAAAAGAGAACACAGAGACTGCCACAACTAATGGAGTGCATGAAGCTACCACCAATGAGCTTGAAAAGATACCTGTTGTTGAACAAACACCAGTTACTGACAACATGAAAAACCTACCACCTATTGTTGATGAGGAGTTGTACCAGCCTGGCACTGAGAAAGAGAATAATAGAGCCTCTCCCGAAAAGGAGCCATATACACTGCAGACAGACAGGGGGGATAATGTTCTTGATAAAGAGCCATATTTACCACTTGCTGGTAGTGAGAATAACAACAATGCCACTGACAAGGAATTGTATATACCTGTTATTGACAGGGAGAATAACATTGTTCTTGACAAGGCATTGAGCAAAGCAGTTATTGACAAGAAGGAGAATGAAGAGATTCTTAACAAGGAACAGGATATGACAGTTATTGAGAATGAGAAAAATCTCCCCACTGTGGACACAGAGAAATCCATTCTTATTACTGACAGACAGCCCAAGGACACTTTGACTCATAATAATAAGCAGTACTGTGAAGTACGTCTGACTTTGTCCAAACCAATGCCTGTGAAGAACCGAACAGCCAGACCTTTTGGGACTCAATCATTAGTTACAACTCAAATACCAGCAGAGAAAAGCCCTGTGGTGGAGCTTCCTCCTCCACCTACCTATGCAGAAACATTTTCCAGTCCTCCTCCGGTAACTAGAGTCAGGTCACCTCCAGCTTATTCAGCTCTGTACCCAAGTGAAGAGCAGAAAGCCTCTGTTTCACAAGTAGTTAACTATGAAGACAGCAGACCAGGACTCCCATCCAAAGAAGACAGAGCATCACCTCCAACTAAATCAGGCATTCTGGAGGAATCCATCACCCACAGAGCTGCCAAAAAGTCCATGTTTACCTTTGTGGAGAAGCCAAAGGTGGCTCCAAATCCTGACCTCTTAAACTTAGTCCAGAGAGCAGATAATAGAAAAAAGCAGAGAGGAATAACAGTTCCTGAGGATGAGCCATTTGCTCTGGGAGCAGAGGCCTCTAACTTTCTGCCTGAAAATACGTTAGATGGTCCAGCCCAAGCTACTGCAGATAGTGTCCCTGAATGGTCTTCATGTCTGAGGTCACCAAGAATACAACCCAAACCTAAGATCAAATCCAACCAAAACCTAACAGAGGCAAGAGGAAAGGGAGCAGAATTATTTGCCAGGAGACAGACAAGGATGCAAAAGTATATCATAGAGTCCCCATCACACTCTGATGTAGCAAGGTCACCTTCACCTACTATTTCCCTCCCTCCCTCCTGGAAATATGCTTCAGAGACTCATCTGTCCCCCATGGCATTCCAACCATTACCCAAAAGTCCAGTAAGATCTCCAAGAGCTCCCCCTCCTGTACCTTTATACAACAGCAACATGACAGAGAGTGAGATTTCCAAAAAGGAGTTGGAAATTTCCAAGCAACAGCCATACCAGCTCCAATCTTCCTTGTTCATCCTTTCCCCAGCCAAGGATCCAATGAGGTCTTTACCGAGAGCAGCACCGCCACCAAAGCCTGTAGTCCCTGAACCCAGCTATATGAGACAGGCTTCTTGCCCAACATCTCCCTTGCCACCTTCTCCTGTTTTGTATCTACCTGTTCAGTCAAGTCCAAGCAGACCATTACCTGGCCATTTTGCTCCATCTGCTGGACCTGTACTTGCACCTCAAAATATCACACCTGCTAGAGCACCAACAGACACATCTGTTGAATATTCCTCCAGAATTTTGTCTCCGAGAGCTAAAGGGGTCTACCAAGCTCCAAGGCCTTCTTATTCCACCAAGGATGCAGGAATTGAGCCTCAGGTGTGGAAACCTTCTTTTTACTACAAGTAATGATGTTAAAAGTATATGTGTACAGGGGGTTCTTCAAGTGGCCAGGACTATGTTTAACTGGTGATTGATGATGTGCAAAAAAAAAAGCAAAATGAAGACAGCTTGCAGGTTATGAATATAAATTCAACTTGCATATACTTTAGTCATATCTCAACGTCCAGTGGGCCAGAGCACTCTTACACAAAAGATACTGAGTTTAATCAAGCAGACAGGGGCTCGCCAAGGCATTTCTGGGGCAATGATCTGCTGTGGAAGCTTAGTCCAGCGCAAAGCTTACCATTGTGAAATCTGATAGGCCTTGCTGTGCCAGCCCTAGCAGAACCTGTGCAATCGGATCCATTGTGTAGATCAAGTTTCCAAAGAGAAAGATAAACAGCGTGTGAATGCAGTGCACAATAAGAGTATAAAAATAGTCCAAGTGTAGGAGTCCTAGAAGATTGCTAGCAAAAGCTTGCCTGAAATAGGAGGAACATCTGGTGCCTTCTTTCTTCTCATGCCCAGAAACTTTATGGACATCAGCTCTCTGGCTGCATCTCTGCTTTGCCTTTTGAATTTCTTCTATGCTCTGCAAGACGTTTTCCTCTACTCTCTCTATATTCAGAGACTTCATCATGAGATGCTTGGAGCTTCTACTGTCTCCCAACCCCAAAAGGCATGTGCCCTTTTCACCAACAAATGCCTTTGATTTTGGACAGCATCATCTCTAGCTATACCTGTTCCTATCCTCACTGTGTTTCTTCTTCATGCATTTTTCTTCTTTTCTTTCATGATCTCTGCATAAAAAACATTGAAGGGAGAAAGAAGGACACACAATGCATATGCACATGGCTACTTTCCAAGTGTCTTTAATGCACAGCAATGATGGTATACCTTCCCCATTTTGCAAAGACCACAGGTCACAGAATGGCCTTCCTCCTCATAAGAACATAAGAGAAGCCATGTTGGATCAGGCCGATAGCCCATCCAGTCCAACACTCTGTTGGCCAAAACCTAGGGTGCCATCAGGAGGTCCACCAGTTTTGCCCCCCACTGTTGCCCCCAAGCACCAAGAATACAGAGCATCACTGCCCAGACATAGTGTTCCACCTATAGCTTGTGGCTAATAGCCACTGATGCACCTCAGTTCCACATGTACAAGAACATAAGAGAAGCCTCCTTGAAGGGTCTAGTGAAACTGGAGAAGTCCTTCTTCGGAGACCAAGCAGACTTCCGCAGAAGTACTGCTATTCACTTATGTAAAGATGAAATGAAGCCGCTGTATCCTGCCTACAGTGGTAGCTAAGAAAACAAACACAATATAGTTGCTAAAATGGGCAAAAACAGGACCTCCGAGCAACAGTAATACAAAAATACATGTAGCTCAGTACACAGTTTAGTGCTTGGCTCATATTAGTGACATTTCATATAAGTAAGGTGGTTTCAACAACACATTATCAGCAGCAAGGAGTGAAGGTTTGTTTGGTTTTTTGCTGTCACATTGCAGCTGACTTAGCGACCCCTGCAGGGTTTTCAAGGCAAGAGAGGTTCAGAGGTGGTTTGCCAGTGCCTGCTCCTGTGCAGCCACCCTGGTATTCCTTGGGGGTCTCCCAGTCAAATACTGAGCAGGGCTGAACTTGCTTAGCTTCCAAGATCTGACAAGATCAGGAGAGAGATTTTGCACACAAAAATCAATATGAACAGATATCAGGGATGTACAAAATACGATCCCATGACTCAGTGAGAAAACTGTATTTTATTTTATTTTGAGTTTCAGTCAGTAAGTTTTTGGCCCTTATGTTTGTGGAGAATGAAAACAACTATAGGGCATGCCCTAAAGAGACTAAGAAGCAAAGAGAATAAAGTGAACCTCAAATCTGAACATTTTATATCTCAGAGTTTTACTGCAGTCTCTTTCTCATGAATCTTATTTAAGAGTGCTGAATATTTGGAGCTGTTAGTATCATCAATGAAGAGACTCAGGTTCAGCCTCCTTTTGAGTTTAAATGTAAAGGATCCTTGTCAGGCAAACGTTTTGCTTCAAAAATCAGTTCCCTGCTAAGTTCTGCTGCCGCCCAGATGCAGTATCAAAAAGCCTTCTTTTGCCTTAGCTAGGATTGCCAGCTCTGGATTGGGAAATTCCTGTAGATTTGGTGGCAGAGTCTGAGGATAGAATGTCATTCAGTCTCCCCTCAGGAGCTGCCACTCCCTCCAGGGGAACTGATCACTCTAGTCTGGAAAGCCGTTATAATTCCAGAATAATTCCAGGCCCCACCTGGAGGTTGGCAACCCTATGTCCTGCCCTCAGATTATTTTATTTTTTTTCCTGGTTAGGAGACCTTTAGACCAATAACACCTGTGTTGCCATGCCAGCCCCCCCCCTGGCCTCCTGCAGGGAATGGAGGGATAGGGTTGCCAAATCCAGGTTGGGAAACTCCTGGAGATTTGGGGATGGAGCCTGGAGAGGACAGGGACCTCAGTCGGGTACAATGCCATACAGTCCACCCTCCAAAGCATTCTTTTTCTCCAGAGGGACTGAACTCTGTAGTCTGGAGATGAGTTGTAATTCCAGGGGATTCCTGGGTCCCACCCGAAGGCTGGCATCCCTAAATAACTGGAGGTTGGCAACCCGATGTCCTGCCCTCAGATTTTTTTTTTTTCCCCCCTGGTTAAGAGACCTTTAGGCCAATAACACTAGTGTTGCCATGCCAGGCCCCCTCTGGTCTCCTGCAGGGAATAGAGGGATAGGGTTGCCAAATCCAGGTTGGGAAACTCCTGGAGATTTGGGGATGGACCCTGGAGAGGACAGGGACCTCAGTCGGGTAGAATGCCATACAGTCCACCCTCCAAAGCATTCTTTTTCTCCAGAGGGACTGAACTCTGTAGTCTGGAGATGAGTTGTAATTCCAGGGGATTCCTGGGTCCCACCCGAAGGCTCGCATCATCCCTAAATAAACAGCTATGCAGGCCTGTATGAAGGGCACCATGTCTGTGGCCTAGTGTTGTACAGATGTAACATTCAGTCTTGTTTTGTGAGTAGCACATGAGGTATTTACTAAATACGTTTGATGAATGATCTGTGAACAGAATCAGAAAACCAGAAGCAACACATTAGCCACAAAAGTGTGTATGTGGCTTGTAAACCTGTGGGAAGAATGGGAGCCTGGTTTTTTTTCTAAATATGGGGTTTATTTGTTGATTTGATTTTTATGCCTCCTTTACTCCAAGGAGGTCAGGACAGAAGACATACCTTTCCCCCATTTTGGTGAGCCTGGTTTGGTGAGATATGGTGGATAGTCTAAGGTCATCCAATAAACCTCTGGCCTTAGTTTCATCCTCCATTCAGGTTTGATCCTTTATTCAGGTTTAAGAGCCCATAAGCCGTACGCCAAGAAAACCAACCACTGTAAAACATTACCACTATTCCTTCTGAAGCATCAGAGAGCATGCTAATGCTGGACTTTAATATGAAACACTATAGATTGCCACTCCCTACACATTTACAGACCCCACTTAGCAAGCTTTTTCGTGGTTACCCTTTGTATCTTGGTAATTTGATTCCACACTATGGAACGGATAGATTCCTTCCTCATGTCCATACTGTGGCTGGACTAGGCTCACTATTGAAAAATTAAGCATACATAGCTAGCTTCTATCGGGGCTTGGAGAGAATGTTCTCCAGGTAGTTTCCCTTATCACCATCCATTTTAAAACATTATGTTGTGAGTGTTGCAGTCTTCACCCTGGATCAATGCTCCCTCTAAGCTGTGGAGTCCTGTGAGCAGAAATTCTACTCTGTGAGCTACTGGCATTAAAGTTGCGAGCGAGCGATTTGGCTGCTGCGTAAATTAGTTTCCTCTGGAGCCATCCTTCCTGAGCTAAGATAAAAATGTGTGAGCTGGAGGCTAAAAAACTGCGAGCCAGCTCACACTAACTCAGCTTAGAGGGAACACTGCCCTGGACATGTATTTGAAATGGAACTTCATACATCCAGACATGCATTTAGACTTCCCAGATGGTGTTCCATATACAGTCTGTAAATTAGGGTTTCCAGCTCTGTGATGGGAAATACCTGGCGATTTTGGAGGTGGAGCCTGAAGAAGGTGGGGTTTGGGGAAGGGGAGAGACTTCGTGGGGTAAAAAATACCACAGAGTCCACCTTTCAAAGTGGCCATTTTCTCCAGTTGTAATAGCGGGAGATCTCCAGACGTGACTTGGAGGCTGACAACCCTACTGTAGATGGGAATTATCCCTGTTGGGAAGTCTGGGAAATTTCAATTTAAACAATCTCTTCTTACTGTTGATTTAAGGCAGTAAACACTGGGAATAATTTCACCCACTTTTAAACAGCATGATGATACTCATTCCCTTCAATGGGGTGGACAAGGGTGGATCCTCCGAAAGGGAAGAAGATTCCTATGGAGTACTGGCACCTAAATTCCACTGTATTCATGTCTCTATGGTCATGCCTTTCAGTGAAAATATTTAATTCACACATGTTACTTTGTGCACCAAAGGATGATTCTTTCTGAAGCAAGCAAGCTAACTGCAAAATGGCCTTCAGCAGGGGTCATTTCGTAGAAAAAGAGCTAGGGGAACTCATTAGCATAACTCACTAGCAATTTCTTGCTTTCGAACTGCTAGGTTGGCAGGAGCTGGAACTAGAGGCGGGAGCTCACTCCGTCATGCGGCACACTCGAGTCCCAAACTGCTGAACTACTGACCTTCCACAGCCTGCAGTTCAGTGTCTTAACCACTTGAGCCACCGCAGCTCCAGTCCTATGGAGTACTGGCACCTAAATTCCGCTGTATTCTTGTCTCTATGGTCATGCCTTTCAGTGAAAGTATATTTCATTCACACATGTTACTTTGTGCACCAAAGGATGATTCTTTCTGAAGCAAGCAAGCTAACTGCAAAATAGCCTTCAGGAAGGGACAAACTGGCAACTCCATGGAAAAGGCTCCATTGAGAGCACTTTGCACTCCATTTTCAG